TGCCAATGAACTGGGGGGGGTGGGAGGCGGAAATAGAATGCTGAGAATGTGTGTGTGAATCGTGAGAGCCTGGCAACCATCAAGGTCACCACTGCAGGTACTTGAAAAAGAAATTGAGTGTTCCCATAACAAAAAGGATGTCTCATAATTGGACAGGGGTGAGAAGAAAGGGAAAATATTGTTTAACTAAGCAAGTATTTGCATGGGAACACCAGAGTTGATTTTGATTCTTTAGTACCAAACTGGTGTATCCAATAAAGTTTTAGTTTTGGCAATTCAAAGCTCCTGAGAGTGTTTCCTTATTTTGGGTTCACTAGTCAGACAGTTAACACTCAAATTTTGTTAATTTTGCCTCTCTGAAGAAAATCAGCAGGTGAAACTTTCCTCGCATTCTATTACCAGATTGGCTAAAAGTTTATCTCTTAGTGTGCTATCCATCATGCAATTATAAAGTTGCATCAAGCTCCTATTAATTAAAAAAGGCAGTGGCTCTGTTCTGGTCCTTCTGGTTTCTTCAGTAGGAAATCTGCATGCCCACCCATTTTTCATAAAATGCTGTAAAGTAGCAGACAGGTTAATATCCCTTATTTCTTCTTGCAATGCTTGTGCTCTTAATGGAGCTACAGCACCCTTTTTCCTTTAGCTTTGGGTTGCTGCTATTTCACATGGCAAAAATCTCTGCTATCTTTTGAAAAACCCCAGGATATGCAGTGAGGGGTTCTTTTGCTGTAATTAGAACCATTATCCACTGCCTCCTAATCACTAGGGCAAATAGGTTCTTGTGCAGTTCCCCAGGAGGCGGCAATGGATTAGAGGAGGAAAAAAAAATTAGGACTTTGTGATTGCTGGAAGAACTAATGACCAGAGAGGGGGAGTCCCTAGACCAGGGGTCGGCAATCTTAAACATTCAAAGAGCCATTTGGACCTGTTTCCCACAGAAAAGAAAACACAGGGAACCACAAAACCCTTCCCATGCCTGAGCAGCCACAAAACTAGCATATGTAGTTGAATTAAACGCTCTGTTTTCTTCTGAAACTTTTCTTTTCTTGGATTTATCCACGGTTGGTCTTCCGGAGTCAAAGAGCTCAATAAATCACGTTCTGGCGGGTGTCACACATTGGCAGTTGTGATACATATTTTGAATGACAGGGAGCTGCAGCAGAGGGATGAAAGAGTCGCATGCGGCTCCAGAGCCGCAGTTTGCTCACCCCTGCTCTAGAAGAACACCAGGAAATGTTAGAAAACTAGTATCAGTTAATCAGTAGCTAATACTAGCTGGAAGTGTGCACAAGGTTTGTGAGATGGAAAATAGACTATTTATCGAGTGGGTAGTTCTAGATTCAGCAGTAGATTTCTGGTTGATTTGTAACAGTCTGGCAAGAATCTCTTACCTCTTAACTGTTTAACAGCAACAGCACCAAAGACTCCTACCTCACCTCTGTTCTGATCAGCAAGAATCAGATCAATTATGATGGCCTATCCATCTTTGTACATATACAGTATTGCACGAGGTTCTAGTAAAGCCCAAGGATTCTACTAAAAACAAAAATGTCACAAAGCTGAATGCTGCCTTCCCCATCTATTGACACAAAAAACACCTTCCTTAATCTGTTATTCTCTGGGACTACTGCTCCCAAAACTGAAGAGATTCTGAAGAGGTTGAAGGAGGAAGCTCTAGTACAGCGAAGACACCTAGGCATAATTCAGGCTGTTCAAAGGGTGAGGAGAATGCTGTGTTTTAATTATCACATAGGAATATTCATGAATGCCTTGTTTTCTTGGGCCTTTAAGACATGGACATGAGTGACAAGAACAATATGGCCTTGATTTTCCATTGACTATGTTAGTGTGGCAATGAAAAGGCCCCTGCAAATGCTGGCAGAACTGGCCTTCAAGTGCAGGTGCTTGGCTTGGTACACCGTCTGACCTGTTCACGGATGTGGTGGAATGTTATCTAGATTCCCAGGAGGGAGGGGCTGCATTCTAGAAGGAAAAAAGGCAGCCAAGCATGGAAAGTTTCCTTGGGAGAAAAAGAGTTAAGAAGGCTCCTCCCTAGCCATTCTCATAGTGATGCAAATAAATAAATAAATTGCTTTATTTTGGCAAGATTTCTGTCTATAGCTAAGGAATGATAAAGGAAACTACAGAAAAATATTTCTACTTGTCTTTTTTTGTTCTTGGGGCCTGATAAGAGTACTGATGATTCCTATACCTTGCTGGGACAGAGGGATCACACGATTCCGGTTGTTTTTTTGGAAGCCTCTGTTGTCATCGTGGAAAGGGATGGGTGCAGGCCCTTGAGGTGGGGGAAGGATGGATTGCCTCTGTTTGATCTTCTCTTGGTTCACCCTGTAGAAGGAAAATAGGAATAGTTTTGATAGGTAAAATATGTACTATTCACTCAAATAGCAGACACAGAGCAAATTAATTTAAACCTGTGTTGATTAATTTGGATTTTATTGGATTAAGAGCAATATTTAATTATAGGGTGGAGGAGTACAAAACATTTCATATAAACCTCAATTATGGGTGATCTAACAGTGCAAAGCCTTTCATTTACATCTATTGTACAGATTAAGCTGATCTGCATATGTTAATCCCTGTAGAAATCCTACTAAATTCAGCTAGATTTAATGCTAAGTAAGTATGCATACCATTCTACTTTGCTTCTCTCAGCAAGCAAGAAGTCAGTAGAGATTTCAGACCAGGCCCACAACTGCCTGTTGAACATTTTCTTCAGACACCTCTGATTTCTAAAGTTCTATGGGCATATCAACAAACTTGCTCCATTGCTGAGGTGGGCATTTTTATCCTCCCTTTATCCATGTCTATACTTTTGTTTTTATATTGTATTTATTATTGTGACTTTTATATTTTTATCTGGTTTTGTTGGCTGTTTTGTTTATTGTAGTACATCCTACCTTTGGGGAGGGAGATGAGCAGCCTACATAAATTTGATAAATAAATACGTTCAATATTATCTATGTGCAATTTCTAAACCTAATCAGTTATTTCACATCCTGTGCTTTTTTCCCTACTTGCAAAGGATCATGAAATGCACACAGCAATTCTATGAACTGTGGTGGCACAGTGGTTAGAGTGCAGTACTGCAGGCTACTTCTGCTGATCACTGGCTGCTAGCAGTTTGGCAGATCGAATCCCACCAGGCTCAAGGTTGACTCAGCCTTCCATCCTTCCGAGGTGGGTAAAATGAGGACCCAGACTGTTGGGGGCAATAGTTAACAAACTGCTTAGAGAGGGCCGGAAAGCAATGGAAAGCAGTATATAAGTCTAAGTGCTATTGCTATTGCATTGATATGGATAAATGAATGTTTCTTTAATGACCAGCCTTCCAGGTGCTGGGAAAAAGCAAACCTGTGGGCATCATAAGGCATAAATCCAATTGATGAGAATTTTCAGGTAAAATTTCCATAGAAATGGGACACAAGGGTTTTGTACCAATCAGTTCCAGATTTAACTTATTTATTTTTATCCCATCTTTATTATTTTTATAAATAACTCAAGGCAGCAAACATTCCCAATATTCCTTCCTTCTCTATTTTCCCCACAACAATAAGGGTGGGTGATGCTGAGAGTGACTGGCCTGAGGTCGGAATAAAACCCACAGACTCTGGTTTCTAGTCTGGTGCCTTAACCACCAGACCAAACTGGTTCACATCTCTGTCTGATCTGATAGCATCAGCTGGTTTGTGGAGCTGAGTCAATTCATTTCTAGCTCTGTGGTAGTTTACTTGAAGCCAGAACATAGATGATTTCCCCCCCACCCTGAACTTGTGGCTTTGCCAAGTGGCTGATTTCATCTTGTCTTCTGGAACCAAAGCAGTCACTGTTCTCTCTCTCACCAACTCATCTACTATACCGTTTACCTTCCTAATACTTGCCTTGTTCCCAATAATTGTCTCCAAGCATTGCACTGCAGTTAATATGTAATCAAGATTGCAAGTAGGAGGATAAAATGCCTGATTATAAAGTTGCTGACATACTAGCATTTCACGATCGGTTAAGAAAAAAAAGCAAGGGCCAGTTAAATGTGCAACAGATGCCAGCTGTGGAGCCAGTTATCTCCTCAAAGCAGCTGCTTTGACATGTTTGTTAAAATAGCTGAATAAATGGACACATCATGCACTGAAAAGGTAGTAGTGATTTCTTTTATTTCCCTTTTATATGAAGTGGGAAAGAGGGGATTCAGTTACCCCAGGGCAACAACTGTTCCAGACAGGACTCTGGCTGGATAGTGTTCTTTGGTCAATTGGAAGGGAGATGGATGAATATGGACGGACTCATATTATTGGTAAAGAATCCCCAAATTTTGAGGTTCAAATTATTTCCACGGGAATTGAAGGTAGTATGCCACTATCTCTAATTCTATCAACTTTATAAAAAAAATCATTAACAAATGCATTAAGCAGGGCTCCATCTCTGCCCTATTAAGTTCCAGCAAGGCATATTTAGGTCCTTGCACAAAGTCATTGCTTTCAATTCCCAGTCCTAGAAACTGATTCACAATGACCTGCAATTATTCTCCTGCTGGTGAAAAAAAATCCTGAACAATGAAACTTAGTTGAATGATTTCTGAACAATTGTGCTGAAATGTGATAGCATTAAGAGGTGAATTTCCACTTGTGTTTTAGGCTATTTTCTCTGATACTGAAACCTGTCTGAAAGACTCTCAGCCCATTCTCATTCATTAGATTTGGGTTTCAGGATGTCTTCCTGAGAGAAAGAGCAATTCTGCTGCCAGAGATAATTCTTTCCTCCATCTTTATGGAAATATGGGTAAAATTCCTCAAAATTTTGCTACTCCAAGTGAGCTCCCACCACCCATTTTCAAGGTTCAGCAACTCAAACTTGGAGAGGAAACTTGCAACCCCTGTAGTCCAAGAAATGCATTTTCCTGGGCCTCCTGTTAGAGTTTGCCCATATACAGAAGCCACTTACTTGAGGGTCTGTGGCCGTATCTTCCTTCCAAACTTATGGTCAGCAAGTGCACTTTCTATGTCCTCATGAACCATCTCTGCCTAAAACACAGAATCAGAAATAGATTGGGGAAGGAAAGATGCAATGGAAAAATGCACGCAGTCTATCTCATAGACAACCATTGATCGACTGCCCTAAATCTAGATTTTATTGATGATGCATGCCTTTGGTTTAAAAACAAAGTGTAAAAGAGAAACATGCAGGCAGAGGGCATCAAGGAAATATTTCATGGGGCTATGAGGTTTGCTAGCAGCAGAATTTAAACAGAGAGGTTATTCAGATTTGAAGCAAAGGTTCCTTTCAATCCTCAAATAAAGCTAATTTCTGGAAAACTTTAAAAATGCAGCCAACGAATATATTGCTGTATGAATCATGGAGGGCGTTTTCCTGCTCTATAAACACATTCTCTTTTAAGGGGAGCTCTGCAAAACCCACCTATTTCTGAAAACAGTCCCTTGTTTGCATTTGTTTTGGCAGAGGAGAACTTCAGTGTGGAGCTTCTGCTGACATGGAACTCTTGGTAGGGCTTCATCCTCCCTTCTCCAAGCCATGAGATAAATTGTGAAACTTTAAATATTCATGCCACAGGGTTGCCCCTCTCTAGGTCCCTTCTCTGAAATCTTGCTATCTAGTTGGCCCAGGGATGTGTGCTTTTTCCACAGCTGTCCCTATCTTGTGGGATGCCCTTCCCTCAGCAGTCTGAAAGGCTCCTTCCTTTTAGTCTTCTGGATGGTCATCATGACCTGGCTTTTTATGCAGGTACTGGGCTAGTGTGAAACTGTTTTGGATGGGTTGCTGGGGCATCCCTTGGGAATGACCAAGGCACCAAGTTAAAGTGTCTTTTATAGTTTTTATAGATCAGGATTTAATTGCTGTTGTTAGCTGCCCAGAGTTGTGTTTTAAGATGGACAGCCATATAAATCTGAAAAATATCATCATCATCATCATCATCATCATCATCATCATCATCATCATCATCATCAAGGGGTCTTCTCTATAACTCTAAAATCTGGACCAACCTTGAACTTGGGGGATTGGTTGGAACTGTAATTCTAGTGAGTCCAAGTTCCCATAACCCCATTTGGCTCTCTCTTCAATAAGGACTGAAGAATTGCTGCTTACCTCCACTTCATCACAATTGAAGAAGTGAATGTCAGGTTTGTGCTGTTCAGAGTCTTGACACACCAACAGGAGGATGGAGGCATATCGCATCTGATTCAGCACAGTCTGGCAGTGCTGGACTGTTGGCAGGAGGAAGTCTTCGAGCTCTTCCTGAAAAGCAAACACCAAAGAGAATGTGGTTCAAATATACATCGAGGGATGTTCAGCTAGAGGCTGCATTTGCACATTGAAATGGCTTTTTGCAAAAGGAGACCATGAACATAGCAGCATTTGAGATGCCCTTAGGACTTTAAATCCATTAGCAGCCACATTCCCAACGTCAGAGTGGCAGCGCTATTGCTGATGCACATTGTTCAGCAGGGACTGAAAGAAAGGGAGCATAACTCTCGTTACTTGTGATAAATTGGGACATACTGGGAAAACAAACCTGATGAAGATACATAACTTTTTGGAAATGATCTGTTTACATCTTGCCTTAATAATGGATTCTCTCAGATGCCAACCAGAAAAATTATTCGTAACCCTCAAAACCATAGTTCTTTCAGTTTATACATTTGACTAAGAACTGATTGTGAGCATTATTTAGTCAAATAAAATCTCTCCAGGCTTTCTAAAAGGTGGCTCTTTGTATTCAGTTTAACTTGATAGAAGTTCGGTATTTTATTCTGAGCACTACCTTAGGAGTTTCTTTATTTCTTGTTTGGAAAATAAAGTTAAAGAGCACTTTTTGTTGTGCAAATTAGCTTAATTCACACATCATATCAAGTACCATACAGGTAGTCCTTGACTTACAACAGTTCATTTAGTGACCGTTCAAAGTTACAACGGCACTGAAAAAGGGACTTATGGCCATTTTTCACACTTATGACCATTGCAGCACCCCAATGGTCACATGATTTACATTCAGATGCTTGACAACTGACTCATATTTATGATAGTTGCAAAGTTCAGGAGTCATTTTGCGACCTTCTGACAAGCAAAGCCAATGGGGAAGCCTGCTTCACTTAACAACCATGTTGCTAAATTAACCACTGCAGTGATACACTTAACAAGTGTGGCATGAAAAGTCGTAAAATGGGGCAAAACTGACTTAACAAATTTCTCACTTAGCAACATAAATTCTGGGCTCACTTGTGGTCGTAAGTTGAGGACTATCTCTACGTTACCATAACTAGACTAGTTTGTAGCAAGATAATCATGTTTTTTCCAAGTTTCTTTTCCTATCATTTTAGTTAGGGTTAGAATAATAATAATAGCAGAATAACAGAGTTGGAAGGGACATTGTAGGTCATCTAGTCCACGCCCCCTCGCCCAAACAGGAGACCCCACACCATTTCTGACAGATGCCAGTCCAGGCTCTTGAAAGCTTCTAGTGATGAAGCTCCCATAACTTCTGAATAACAAGGATAATAACAGAATTGAAAGGGACCTTGTAGGTCACCTAGTCCAACCACCTCCCAAGCAGGGGACCCTACTCCATGAAGTAGGTACAGTAAGTACACAAGTACATGAAGTAGTTACAGCATGAGCAGAATACAAAAATGAATCATGGTGACCCAGAAGATCACAAATAAACCATGCTTCCCCATTCATATATCATGTAAGCCACAACCACAATTGACAGGATAGTTATTTATTATCCCCAAAGAAAAGATGGTTTATTTACCTGTCTTGCTTGCACATAATGCTAACCCGGGAACAAATAAATCACTCTGTGGCTTATTGCAACCTGGGAGACCAGACTTCTATCATTTTGACGCCCTCCAAATACATTATCTCATTAGATCCATCCATTATGTGGAAATTGTGGTCCAACCGACTTAGAGGCTGCCTTGTATTATTATGTTTCCAACAAGATATTTACCAGCACAGCTCCTAATCTATCAAGACCATTTATTCTAATTGTAATGTAAACAACCTCTCTTGTCCATCACCCAATGCTTTGGCAGAACAGAAAGCATTTCCATTAATGTGCAATTCATCCCTCTTCTCAGTCAGCTTGATTAGATCAGTCCTATTCCCTACTGGAATACAGGCACACAGACAACAAGATGCTTGCTATGCATGTAGGCGGGAGAAATCGGGCAGACTTTTGACTTTTTGTTGTGGTTGGTCTGAGCATGAATTCCATTCAGTTTAATATTCTTAGAAAAGCCTACGGCAATTCATCAACCCATTGAGAAATAATATGCAATACGTTTATGTAAATCTTAATCTTTCTAATCTGCGTTTAGCAACTTGCCTCACCATCACTCTCCAAAAAGAGGTATTTGCTGCTCACCTGAGTTCCACAATCCAACAGTCGAATAGATTTGTCATTCACCTGCAGCAGCATTTCTTGGGCCCAGATCTTCTCTTTGGAGCTCAGCTGTTTGAGCTTTCTGATGGCATCTTCCACTGTTACAATGGCCTCACTTTTATCCATCATGAAGGTAGCCAGGTGCTAGAAAGGGGGGGGGGGAACACCACAAAAGGTCAAACAGGGATGATAAACAATTTAACTCCAGAGTTTGATTCATGGAGTACATGTGTGTTGATAGAGATAGCTAACTCTGGTTTCTACTAGTAATAAACAGCAGAAATAACACTTTGTGAATTATTTTATTTCTTAGGGTTTTTTTTATCCCATCTTTCTTACTTCAGAGATAAGTCAAAATGGCGAACATGCCCAATACTCCTTCCTCCTCCTCCTATTTTCCCCACAAGAACAACCCTGTGAGGGGGGAGGGGTTGGGCTGGAAGAGAGCCACTGGCCCAAGGCCACCCAATTGGCTTTCATAGCTTAGACAAAACTAGAATTCACAGTCTCCTGGTTTCTATGCTGCTGTGTTAACACTAAACCAAGCTGGTCTCTGATTTTGGTTCTCCCCCAATTCAATGGTGCAAATACTTCCGGTGTATAAAAGAAACCACTGCTATAGATTTGATGGTTTTGTTTATCAACAATCTCTCAAATCTTGCTTTATAGAAGATAATTTGCAAAAGAGCTATGTAAACTGACAAGGACCTGCAGCCAAATTCTAGGTCTTGTTTGGAAGGAATGTTAAGTCCTATACATTTAAACACACGTGGCAGCCCTTAGTTAGTTCTTTCTCTTTAGTGCAGAGTCATTTATGCTGAGACCACTGCAAGGCATTCAGCTTTCTGCAAGCAATTAAAAAAATAACAACCCCAAACAAACAGCTAGGCATGATTGGACTTGTAATAATTCCACCTCAGCTCAAAACCTGTTGCCCTAGTTTAATGTGGGGAAAGCCCTCCTCGGCTCAACACACTCCAACAGTTTGCTTTCTAGATGTGAGGATTTGCGTACATGAGCTATTTTTGTGCAGGCCCTACTGAGGATAATGCCAGGAGCAAGAACATTGTTATCAAACAGTGCAACAAAATACACAGGAAAGGGGGCCTTTTGTTAATCTCCATCTGCCTGCTGTTGTGGGCTGATGAAAAGAAGCCGTTCTTCCTTGGCTCAGGAAAAATCACACAATGCTCCCACTATGGCTTTATCATCCAGCAGAGGGAAGTGTAAAGACCCTTCAAAATTACATTAATCCATTCTCCTAGGAAACTCAATTAGACCACAGTGCTCGCTGTGAAAAGGTCAGCTTCTTGGATTAGAAGTCTGCCTATCGTGGACCTTCTTATGCTGGTGGTGCACCTGACTGCCTTCTCCTCATAATCCAACATTCACTTAATTTTGCACTCTGCTGACTTGACAAAGTTCCGGATAAAGTTATTTTTCCTGCAACTGCTCTGCTCTGAGGAGGTAATTTGATAGCAAGTCCTGACTATTTGCATCCTAGCTGTGTTCCCCACTATTCCTTCCATCTTTTCTAAAAAGGAAAACCATACCATAAGGAAAAACAGAACGGCTGCACAAAATCTTACAGAGAAAGAAGTATAACAGCTCTACTGTTAGGAGCTCCATCACTGGAAGTTTTTAAGAAGAGGCTGGACAATCACTTG